ACTCTAGATTAATTGACATGTTTCTGAATATTATCAGCACTGCTTAATATAATTGGCAAAAATGTAATTATGATAGAAAAACAAGATAAGATAAAAAACATACAATGCGGAGGCAAAAGAATATAAGCGAGAATAAATTGATGTCAGTAATGTCTTGCACTTATTGACCTAACTTACATGCACAGTAGTGCATGAAAGTGAAGTCGCTGTGATAAATGTGATTTAAGGGAATTCGTTCTGTGCGAGCATAACTGACTGTATGTGTAAAAACAACTCATATCTCAAAAGAACCATGAGCCTGTGAAACCCTCTTATGTCTCGAGTAATGTTAGGGAAAATAATATTATCTTACACAGAAGCTAATACCTTTGACCCGGCTTTTAGTGGTGATGCCGGAAGCACATTGTAGGTGGCAGGAGGAGCTCAATCCTTGTTTACAGCTAAAGAAGCAAGTATTTTATTCGCCTATACTATGGAATGATCTCATTCCTAAACGAAGTTCAAATATCGCTAGAAATGACTTAACACCTGCAGTTATTCCTGGCTCTGTCAGTACTTGCTGGTCAGACGGCCTGTTCGTCTATCAGAGAACAGGATAATTTGAACAAATGCAAAACACTAAGTAGCAACTGTAGCAAAATCATAAATAGATTGTTCTATTCTAACCACTCTGTGATACATTTCTCTACCATTTTTTTCAGTTAATCCTTAAGGGAAGTAATTCATCTATTACAATGAGATATTATAGATATAAGGCCTTTGATTGTTTATCAAGAAGCATCGAACACGGTCTGTGGGACAAGAGTCTAAATTTTTATCTCTAAAGATCAACACTTCTCTTAGTTTGCATTTTACAAAAATTTTTCTTATAATGATGATTAATACATTCTTTTATTTTATTCTTTTGTTAGGAACATTGGATTGAAGACTACGAAATGGGTAATGTTACCGAATTCGAAGATACTATCGATCAAATTCTAAAAGATATCATGCCACTCTATGAACAACTACATGCATATGTTCGAGGACGCCTTTGCTCGAAGTATCAAAATCGTTTTGATTGTGATGGACCTATTCCAACTCATATTCTCGGTAAATTCATATTTTCATTTTCATTATTCATATATTTTAATTCAATTCTAAAATCTAAATAGGAAATATGTGGGCTCAAACATGGCATGATCGTCTGGATGATGTTATTCCTTATCCTGATACTCCACTTGTTAATATAACCGATGTATTAATTAAAAAACAATTTTCAATTCATCAAATGTTTACAACAGCTGAATCATTTTTTACATCAATTGGTCTTTATCCAATGA